GTTTTGCTTTAAAGGACATCAAAGAAATGGAGTAAGAGCTGGAGGGGGACGTGAGCCAGGAGAGAGGTTTTGATTTTGTTTTTTACAGTATGAGTGATTATAGCATGTTTGGTGGGAATGCTATAGAAAATTAATGATTCAGATGGTAGAGACAATTGCTGGAGAGATATATTTAGTAAAAAAGAACAGATAGTTTCAGTGCACAAGCAGAGGAGTTAGTCTTATATTGGATTATGGACTGATTCAAAATATAGGAAGGCAGGCAGAGAATGGGGCACAGATACAGGGAGGCCGGTCAATGTGATGGTGGGAGTTTGTGAAAAGTTTCTTCTGATTGCTTCTAATTTCTCCATGAAATGGAAAGCCAGGCCATTAACTTGGAGTGAGAAAGAGGGAGAAGAAGTTGGATATTTGAGGAAAGTTAAGAAGGTAGGAAGTAATTGTCTAGGAGACTAAAACAAGGAATGGGCTAGGAAAATGCTTAACATGATTGCTGAACAGCACCAGAGGCCTATTTGAAGTACAGAATTGTAAATTTAGAGACTAGTAAGTATGGCAGTGTATTTTCTTCAGCTAAGTTCTACTGTGTGGCTAAACAGAGTAGGCAGTGAGTTAGACTGAACTAAAGTTTGCGTTTTGCTACATATGTGAGGGCAGTGAAGGTGGATTGAAGGATCAGGAAACTGTAGCTCCTCAGATGGGGTAGGGAGTGAAATCATAAACTGGTACTAGAGGGAGAAAACCAGAATAATAAGATGCGGTGGTCAGAGAGTGGGATATTTAAAATTGAGATTAGGGAGGAGTGACAGATGAAAATGACAAGGTCCACTGTATGACAAGAGAGGGAGTAACTAAGATAGGGAAGAGGCCAGATTATCACAGTGGAGGGGAGGTCACACTGAGATAGCCAGGTGTTGGAATGAACATCTACAGAGACAGCAATGTCATCAAGAATCATGGCAGAGGTAATGTTGATAAGACAGCAACAGTGAGCTAGGAGCTAACATCTTTAAGGCATGAGGGTTAATGATCAGGCAGGGGGTAGATAAAAGTATGAGTAGGTGACATAGTCTGGTGACATGAGATTCAAATATCAGATTTTTAGGATTGAGGGATTAAAAAGCAGGTCGAAAGAGGCAAGGAGGAGCTAAGAAGGGAGCTACCCCACCTCCAGGCCCATTCATGTGAGGGGCATGGAAAGCAAATAGCCAACTCTTCTGAGGGCCTTAGGGAGACTCGTGGCCTAGAGAGAGCCAAGTTTCAGTTAGAGCAAGAAGGTGACTCAGTAAGGATGACAGTTGGGTTCCAGAGGGTATAATGGAAATATTTCAGGCATTAGAGAAAGGAGGGAGTTATGATTAGAAAAAGGTTTATGCAGAACCAAATGTTATTCTTTGGGGACTTTTTCCTTTTTAAACATTTCTTAGAAGATGTCAACATTTTCCCATCTCAGATGCCCTTCTTTACAGTTATACGGTAAAGAGGAAGTCCTCTCTTGGCCAGGCTTGTGAACCAGAGTATTGTTTTACCATGTGTCATTAGCTGCTGATTCCAAATGGCTCCTGTGAGCTGGCACTCACAGAGAGTCCAGACCATTACCTTGTCATTTCCTTGGTGCACTCCCCCACAAGACCTAGGACAGGCTTATGCTCTGTGAGGTTTGCACCAGCTTCCCAAGGGAGGAAAGGAGAGGGAATTAACATTGGATTGTCAACTCTATAATGTAATGCTTTGCATATATTTTTACTTAATCTCCCTCATAGTCCTGTCAAGTGTGATTGTTCTAATTTAAAGACAAGGAGAGGCAATGTTGGTGATAAGAATTAGCCTGCCCAAGATCACACAGCCAGTAACTGGGGCAGGTGGGATTTGAACCCAAGCCAGTCTGACTCCAGAACCTGAGCTCTTTGCACCATACCACATAACCTTCTTCCCAGAAGGGTTGGTGAGGCAGAAATCATCTCTCACAGAGATAAGTTCTCACTCTAGCATTTATGTACAACCTTGAACAGTTGTATGTGAATGTGAGACCCTTAGCAGAGCTGGGCTCCCTTCATTTCCTCAAGGTGGGGAGTAATCCCTGGGTTTTAACCCTCACTGGTCTTTAGCACTGTCTGAGGGCTTAAAACAGCGATATCTATCTCTCCACCAACAAGGACTAGGCTTTTGAATATCATGCATCTCACTCTCACTCTAGAAAGTAAATTGTACAGATGTTTTATTTGCTTATTTATTTTTAGCATTCAATTACCAGCTTAAAGTCCAAATACTCCGAACTATGTGGAGCCCAGTGTAGAAGATTTTGATTCTGATTTAAATTGCTAAGTATTTTTCTGATAGTGTGAGCTTGCCTTTCTCGCCCTGATCTTGATATGTAGCAGAGAATTTGTGACACGGGGAAAGTTCAGCTCCTGATTATGGTACTTGCGTGTCCTTGAACAAACAACTTGAATTTTCTGAACCTTAATTGGTCACTTCATGTGTAAAAGAGGGAAAATAATACCTACCTCTCAGACTTATTATGAGGATTCAAGAAGATAATGTAAAAACATCTAAATATAGTTCCCAAAACATAATAGGAGCTCAATTTAAATTTATTCAATAGACCAATACATGTAGATATTCTGATTAAAATACTGCAAAAATTTACCATCTATTTTTTGTGAAAAGGAAACGTATTATTTCATAGTTTATTTTTATGCAGAGTTTGTATTATAGATCAGCTTGCCAATATGAGAAATCTGTAAAATGGGTTAACATTGCAGTAAAAGTTTTCACTCTATACTCATAGTGTATTAAGGCAAAAATATTTTATTGCAGTTATCCAAATTCAGTAAAAAAGTTAATGAGGCGGTCAGGTGTGGTGGCTCATGCCTGTAATCCCAGCACTTTGGGACGCTGAGGTAGGTGGATCCCCTGAGGTCAGGAGTTCGAGACCAGCTTTACCAATATGGTGAAACCCCGTCTCTACTAAAAATACAAAAAATTAGCCAGGAGTGGTGGCATGTGCCTGTAGTCCCAGCTATTTGGGAGGCTGAGACAGGAGAATTGCTTGCACCTGGGAGGTGGAGGGTACAGTGAGAAGAGATCACACCACTGCACTCCAGCCTTGGTGACACAGCAAGACTCTGTCTCAAAAAAAAGAAAAATAATAATGAGGCATTCAATACCTTGGGAAGGTTAGCATAAAATTTAATTTGTGTTAATTTGCCCAAAACTTAGGAAGCTAGAAGTATACTGTTTTAAAATTTGATTCAGTAAGAGGGAAACTAACATTTTATATGATATTTCTATATATAGATTTAGATTCTGCTATTATCTGCTTCCTTCAGGCAACCAAAAAACTCACCATGAGAATCATAAAAGCTGCATCAATGTCAGGTGCTTAGCATCAACTAGGTGCTGACAGGCTCTATAGAAGTCAGGCATTTTTATGATATACAGTGAGAGCTTAGTGTATCTGTAGATTGAATATCTATAAAGGAAACAGTGATGGCATTCAAGTCAGCTGTTAGCTTAGATTCACATTCTGGCTCTGCTGGTTATTGAATGCAGGGCTTGAAGCAACATCTGATTTTCTTCATCTGAAAATGGAAAAAATAACTTATGGGGTCATAATGTTAGTTGGGTAAGGTGATATATCTGATAATATTTTATACGTTATGTTAGGGATATGATATGCCTTGTGGTAATTGAAAGAGGTTGCTGAAGACAGCGTGAACAGGTATCTCACACAGTGTTTCTAAGCCACCTCCATCCCTTCTCCCTCTGCCAGGCTGGAGGGCACGCAGATCTTTGTGAGAAAATTATGTTCCTTCTGGACATGTCAAAGAATGGCAGTTAGCTAAGCTACTTCTTCATGGATTCCGGGTATTTTCCTGTTTGAGTGAGAGGGATAGAAAGTTTCAGTGATAATGTGTAGGGTCAGTAAGAATTGTCCAAGTGATAATTGACCTGAAGCCTTGAGTACAAAAAGTGGAAGGACCTTCAAGAACTTCCCTGACCCTGGCTTTGATAAACATGTGGAAACTGAGGCTCTGAAAGGATAGTTACAATGACATTTTAAAACAAATGTCAACTGTAATTTAAAATAGTCATAGCCTCTGTGTTAGGTAGATCTTTTATTCCTGTGTACCAGTTATAATGCCTCAAATGAAGTTGAGAGACAGTGGTCATGTCTCCCTGCAGAGGATGAGAGTGACCTTCACAAAGGGTCTGTTAAGTTTATTTAAACTACGGTAACATTATAGAGGAATGAACTGGTGTCCAGATCTTGGCACCCTCTGGGATCTAGGGTAAGGCCCCGTGTCTGGTGTCTACTCAGCAACTCTACCCTGTTGAGTTGCTCTTTACTCCTGGCTTTCTTAATCCCAGCCCCAGTTCCAGCCCAGGGCCTCAGCAGTAATGACATCCAAGATGATGCTTCCACAGGGATTCTTCCTGACAAGTTCAGCCATGAAAATATGTAGACATTTACATGAATAACAAATACATGCTTTGCTAAATCTCACTCTTTGGGACATACTAGGTCCCTTGTCATCATGATTTATACAGTTCTCAAACTAAGGTGAAGGCACAAACTTGCTTAATAGTGTTGTTATAATACGTTTCATGCCACTAGTTTGATTTTCAAAATGTGCTGGGAGATCTTCAAAAATTATCTTACATGTAACTTTGCGGAATTCACTACATCATTTGTTCCCAATGCTAGGTGTTATCCAAGCTATGCCATATTTACCAAGTTAAAAGAACCCTGCCTTTATGTTGCAAAATCGTCAGTAAATTGCTCTATTATCTTGTTTAACTCCCGACCATAGCCATCAAGGAGATTTGCAGGACTCCTCCAGGGAGCACCTTTGTCACATTGTATTTGCTTAGAATGTTATTTAACATTTATTTAGGGCTCCCTTTGGCAAGTGTAAGGGGTGTATTCCAATGCTGTACAGAGCACATATATAGATATTTCTCCCTTGTCTCATTTGTTTTTTGACTCTATATAGGCAACAGCCTCAGATTCCAATCACCACAGGAACAGGTGTGGTGTATCCTGGTGCTATCACGATGGCAACTACCACACCATCACCTCAAATGACATCTGACTGCTCTAGCACCTCGGCCAGCCCGGAGCCCAGCCTCCCGGTCATCCAGAGCACTTATGGTATGAAGACAGATGCCGGAAGCCTAGCTGGAAATGAAATGATTAACGGAGAGGATGAAATGGAAATGTATGATGACTATGAAGATGACCCCAAATCAGACTATAGCAGTGAAAATGAAGCCCCGGAGGCTGTCAGTGCCAACTGAGGAGTTTTTGTTTGCTGAATTAAAGTACTCTGACATTTCACCCCCCACCCCAACAAAAAGTTCTTAAAGAGCCCGCATGCATTTGTGGCTCCACAATTACATCAGCAGAATGGTCTTAATTGTTTCGTAAAGTGTGAGACAGATTAAGTTTTCCCTGATTTTTCATGAACTTGAGTTTTTTGTCGTTATTGTTATTGTTGTTGTTGTTTTTTTAATTTAGGTGAAGACATATTAAATATGAGACACCAGGACTTGAAAACTTATCTCAACCCGTAGATGTCTTACAAGTCTTATATTTTTGTCTTACTTTTTTTTTCTTTTGGATGTTGATAAAGGTTTAAGTTACTGTTTTAGATGGGGTTAAACATTCTCACTCAGGTATGCTGTGCCGGCCTACAGGTTGTGAATGTGTTTTTATTCTGAATTATCTTAGAAAACAACTGAGGATTTCATATTGTGAAACAGAACAAGTCCACGGCGTGTGCAGCTGCATGTAGAGCATATACAAAAGGCCTCAGAATTCCAGTTTTCCATGTGTAGAGTTAAACTTTGAATGTGCCAAACTTTTTCTTAACTTTTGAATCTTAATATTTTGAAAGTCTTAAAAGAGACACTGCAAAGTCTTAGACAATCTTTGGCATCTTAAAATAAAAGAGCAAACCAACTTTTTTTTTCCAGAAAATGGTAAAGTGCTCAGGAATCTGGAGACAAGATATTGTAAGGAATGAACAAGGTTGCCACAGTGCATGGACCCATTTGTGTTTGCCTGTTGACTTGCCATCAGTGCATGATGTGGTATGACGTACACACACCAGAGCGATTGCCACACCAGATATCAACAGGGTGGTCTTCTCTGCCTGAGACCACCTCTCACTACATCCATTATCCCTTTGCCTTTAACCCTGACATTCAGTCTTAACACATCTTCTCTTAAATAATTTATTCATTCCAGAATGTCAAGGGTCCACTTACTATTTATTTTTTTAAAAAATTGTTGGTGGCATTAATTTAATAATTCTTGTTTTTCACCCTCCTTCCCCAAAGAATTTTTTAGTTCTTTTCACCTCCTTCCCTTGTGTACATAGTGATTTTATGCCCCCAAAACGCCTGGAAACATTTCTGAAACCAAGATACTATTAAAAACCTATTATTGTTTTTAATCATGAGTATATATCTGGCTGCTGGGCTGTGTATTGGGATAGAGGTGTATAGTCTTAAACAGGTATGCCCCTGAGGTTCACTGTGACCTCAAGTTTTTTGCCAGAATTTACCCCTAATTCAGTTCACGAGTGGTAGGGTCTTCATCTGCGACATTTCCCCCTGAATTCCATTCGCAGCAAGGGTCAACAGTGGTGACTGCCAGGCAGGAGAGTCCTGCGGCCAAACCTGAAGCCACGGGCTTATGGGCCATGCAGGAGTCTCAGTGAAGCTGTCATGGGCTGGCACCTTTACACTGAGTTGCCTTGTCCCAGCTGGCACATCCAGGGAGTTCACTGCAAATCTCCAGGATGCAAGAAGCCATGTGACAGCCTCAGAGCAAAGATAGTGGCAAATAGTCATGATACATCTAGAGAATGAAAGAAAACCACAGGAGAGGAGAAGAGGGGTAATACATTCCCCATATGGGATGTTCCTACTGTTAACTCTGGGGAACAGATAGCTCCGGGGGCAGCAGATAGGTTCCGCTGGCTGACTCTTATCTGTGGCCACATGGGGACATACCTATGTGTGAACAAGATGAACTGCATTTGTCACACAAGGATTTCTTTGGAGACATGCTGCTGGGGTGGGAAGCAGTGAGGTTTTATTCCCCATCTCCTAATTACAGAGCTCTGCCATGCCATTTTGACCTTCCTGAAACCAGGATGGGTTGCCTATGGGGGGGGGGCTTCACCCAGAAAGGTTTAGTGGGAGAATGTCAGTGAATGGGACAGTTCATCTCATGGAACAACCCAGAATCTGATCACCAGGACATAGGAATGGCCCCATCAGATTTCTTGAGCCATTTTGTCACTTGGAAGAAAATAGTGTACCTTCGTATTTATTTAAGAGTGCTCAAGGCCTAATAGCAATAAACAGGTCTAGCCAAGAAATTACCAGCTATGCCGTTAGCTGGGAGTGCTCTCTATAAGCTGATTAAGGTACTGATAGGAATGTTTTGTTCTTCATATTGGTTGGGGATTAGAAATTTGTTTCTGTACATTTATTTCAAATGAGGAGGAGGTCTTTTTTTCTAAAAAAAAAAAAATGAGTATTTATTATTGTCTTACTGATTTCTTTGATTTATATACCTCTCCTCCTCAGTTCACTCTTGTTTTTTTTCTCTTTCTCTTTGGCTTTTGCTTGTGCTTTCTCTCACTTCTCTTATTTTGTTGCATTGGTAGAGTGTTGTATGGCTAGTATTGTATTGTATGTAATTAATTTTGCACAAAGGCAAACATTTAGCATAGTAGGTTAATTTTGTTTGTTTTTATGACCATGCCAAAATAATATTCTGGGCTGGTGGAGAACAAAGGACTGTTCTTTAGGACTGAAACTTGATTTTGCTTGTAGTAAGTAAAAAAAAAAAAAAAAAAAACAAAAAACACACACACTCACAGATGTTGTTTCGTAAGTGTTATAAGCACTGGATATAAATGGTATTTTTTATCACTTCTGACTAATGTGAAACTGTTGTACGAAAACTACATGAACAAAAGTCATCTGTTTCGACTCGCGTGGGCTTGCCTCACAGTTGCCGGATTTGAGTCATTTTTATGTCTTGTTATTTCATTTATTTATGCAAAATACATGTGTGTATGAACACTTTGTTTTAGCTCCAGCTCTGCCTCAGTACTGGGGTTCAGTTACTTTTAGCCATGTTCTTAAAAATGAAAGGCTGTTCAGGAATGATCTGATTGTAAACATCTCTTTCATTGGATCAAAGAGTAATGCTGTATTTGAATCTAAATTTTGTGTATAAGCAGTTTATTTATTAGCCAAGTTTGGCTCTAAATATCCATGGAAATTAAGAATGACAATCATAGGGATCACTTCATTTTATTTTCAGTGGGGCTTAAACAAAGTTTTTATGACTTTACCATCTCATTTTAGATTTTTCTAATTGTGTAAATATAACATAGAAATAGAATTTATTTTTGGTTCATGAATTCTTAGTGAGATATAAGTTATGTATTTCCTTTTTGTTCTCTATCCATAGATGTTGGTCCAAACTGAAAGTTGATGAGTCACTGTACCTCACGGCAGTAGTGAGTTATCAGCTACAGTGAGAGAGCAGTGTTCGGCCTGCAGCTGGGACCGGCTTTACCAGGGTTCTCATGCAGTTCAGAACCGACTGTCCACAGATTCAGACATTTCTCAGTTTCTTACAGAAAGTTGATGATTGGATATACTAAATTTCCACTACAGCTAGGAGACAGTTTGCTTTGTGAGTCCACATAAATCTTCTAAGGTAGTTCTGTGACCATATAATAGCAAGAAGCATGAATGCCATTACAAAGGCAAAAATCCACCTCTGAGATTGGCCATTAATAAAAGTTCCACCATGTCAGTTTGGTGTCAATAATGTTAAGCAACCTTGTTTTTGCGGTGCTTCCTATTCCATAGTATCTTCAAATCAAAGATAAAAAGTATTCCCATTTTGTTAACACACAGGGTCAGGGTTCTCCTTGTTACTTAGAATTGGAACACTGGCAGAAAATCCTCTCCTTAAAAAAAAGGGGCGGTATGGAATGGAAGGGAAAGGAGAAAAGAAGGAAGGCAGGAAAAAAGGAAGGAAGGGAGAGAGAAAGAAAAGGTCTCTTTGTAGACGTGAGCCGCCAGGCTGACAACTTTTCTATTTCATTGGCAGATATGAAACAGTGTCTTTTCCAGGAAGGTACGGAAGCTTTGTTGTTTTCACACATATCCAACTCAGTCTTTTAGGAGCACATCAGTTTGCTTCATTAGGTATTTGATACTCTCCAGCCTTGTCCTCAGGCCTGATTTGATTTGCCAGGGTCCTGACACCAATGCCCAGGCCAACTTCTAAATTCAGGTGTGGGCTCACAGTGCTATTGAGCTTGTCGAATTCTGGCCTCCCCTGAACGTTTAGCCCCATGGGAGCCTGAGGGTGTTTGAAAAGGGTGTGATCACTCTGGGGCTGAAATTAAAGGCTGCTTTCTTTTCCTTCTGAAGCCAGGCTGCTTCCCTGGAGCACACCCTCCTGAGCCAGGAACACAGGCGCTAGCTGAAAGCAGGGATTGTTTCGGGGAAGCCCATTTACCCTCAGTAGGAAGGCAGCCTGGTCACTTGAACAGCACAGCTGAGGCTGCTTCTCTCAATTTACTCATTTTGCAAAGAATTGACCTCTACCAACTCATTAGGGAGAGAAAAAAGAATCACTTAGTAATTTTAGATCATCGAGAAGTCCCGTACCAAGTGCCAACAACTGCAAAGAAACGCAGCTAGAGGAATGTATTGAAATTATTACTGGGTCTTCCTTTTAATGAGAAAATGACCAAAATGGTTATGTAGCCCTGCCTGATTTTGTACACGTTTGTCTAAGGATTGAGTTGGCACTTAAGCTCACTTCTCAAAGTATAATAATATTGTATGACCTCATTTGTCCTTTCACAAAAGCACTTGCATCATTTCCTTAAGTCATCTGCTCTCTGACATGTTTTCTTCCCTAATAAACAACTTCTGTCTGTTATTCCTGCCAATGATGTTCTGTTTCTGATGCCATATCCTATTGAGCGTGCCCCTGCACTAATATCACTGAAACTATTGATATGCAAACACATTTCCTTTTCATCCCCATTCATCTTTTCTTTTGGGGACAGATTGCTTTCCAAAAGCTCATGAACAAGTATTTGGAATGCTGGTACCTTTGGGGCAGAGGTAAGGGTGGGTGGGGTGGGGGCAGAAAGGTAATGCTTAATGCAGATACTCTTCTAATCAGTGTCCGTGGCAATATAAACGCTTGAAGACACCTCAGTGACATATCTTGCTCAGTAGTTTCTTATTCCTGAAGAACCACAAGCATAAAGTGAGGCCTCAGTGCTGGTGCTCTTGGAGTATGGGGAATGTGCAAATATTGAACTGTTTTGTATGCTGCACATTGCAGATCTGCTCATGTGCATTCTCCCTTTGTCTTCCTTTGTCATATGTGTTGTTGCTTTTTTGAAAGTGCAGTCTTTATTGTACCTTCCTCCAGCTTGTAGCAAATTAGAATGCTTAGCATTTATGTTCATTCATTATTGTATTTGCCATGTAAAATTTTTATTACCTTAGACAAGCTTATAAGCTGTTACTACATAACTTATCTTACTGTAACTCTTTTATTTCCCCCGACGTTGTAATTTGTTTGTGATGTATATTGTGAGATTGTATTCTATGTTAATTTAATCAGCACAATTCACTGACATGCTGGACTGACATGCTGGCTGCTGTTTCAAATTGTAAAGTTTGTGTAGGGCTGTCGGGACAACTGCAACTCTGTTGTCAAGGTACTGTGCTTTGGTTCCTATAGCAACACTGGGTGTGGCCCTTGAATTGCTAAGGGCATTTAATACACCCTGGAGCAAATTTTAACTGCAGATTTTCTTTGTAGAAATTCTATGTATAATGCAGGTACCTACTTGGCCCATGGCTGGTAACTATTTGGGCAATTAGAGAAAAAAAAAACAAAAAACCATAAAAACTAGTGTCTATTGCTGCTTTGAATATGTTTGAAAGTCTGAAAATGTAAATAGTTTATCAAAAAAAAAATCTTGTACAGTCCAGTGTAAAGTTTTTAAATGACCTTAAGGGTTGCCATCACATCTTTCTCACACTCTCCTCTTGATAAGAATAATTAAAAGTTTGCAAAGGATTTAAGAAATGGGAAAAATAAAAAAAAAAACTCTTCAAATTTACAGGAATGAATTATTGTTCTTAGCTTTGTTGCTACACAAACTTCTTGGATTTTGTTGTGCAGTATTGACGTGAGATAAAGCTCAACATTGAATAATCTTTCAGTGGTACTTTTCAAAGTCTTCCCCTCCTCTGCCTCATAATTAAGGGAAAAGACAAAATTGAAAGACACACTGTCTTTATCTATCCTGGTATATGTTGGCACCTTAGCTACTTTTTTTTTCCTTTTTGCACAAGGTGCTTTCCTGATATGTTCAACATGCCATCTTTGGGTGATAATGTATATGCCGTGATGGGGCTCAGGCCCCTTAGGGGAGTGTCTATAAGAACTGCCTATTTATGCTCATTTACCTCAAGACTGTCCTCTCTACCCTAATCTAGTTGTCATCACTCCATCTTTTGTACTGCTGTTGACACTTACAAATTAAAGATAAATTTTGTTTTATGACTTCTGTGTATGGCCTTATCTGTGCCCTGCAAAGTGTACCCCCCCATGGAGCCCCAGCCAGCCCTGATCGTGCCACCCGCTTGCTGCTGAAGCCTGCAGAGCTCTCCTGCCCTCTGCCATTGCTTCTGCCTGGCCCAAAGGTAGGTCTCCGAAAGCCTTGGAACCCCTTAACCTAGAAAGACTTGCCTGCTCTTTTCATTGTGGAGCACACCCTGCTGAAGCAGGAAATGCTTGTGCATTTAGAAGGGAGGAACAGGATGCAAGGTGGACCTTTGTCAAGAGAAGATGAGAAAGCATGGCATTGCCTCTTTGCCTGACTTCTTCATGAGAGTGAAACAGCTTAGAAAGAGTTCAGAGCCTTTTGGAGTATGAATGACTCTCAAGGGCCAGCCTCTCATCTGACACCACCTACTGCAAGCCTAGCAGCCAAGAGTGGAAAATGCTGCACTTACGGAACCTTTCCCTCCACTGTGGTTGGCAGTAGTTGGCTGATTACTCAGTAGCTTCTGCCTCGGAGAAGAAAGAGCCCATCTTTTTGTGGAGCAATGAGCTGCATCCAGAGTGAAACTCGGCTTCTGGTGAGATCAGCTTCTAAAATGTTGCCAAAGCTGTTTCATTGTGCTCAGAGTCTGCGTGGCGACAGGGTGGGTAGTGGGCTGAAGTGAGCAGGGCCCTTAAGGGAGACTTGCCAAACCAGCTAAGCCAGTCCTGTGATTTTAGAGATTAGTAACCAACACCTAGAGAGTGAAACAAAAGCATTGGAGAGAGAGGAGAGGCCCAGCCACTTCTGATATTTTCTATTAAAAAATGCCTCCAGAAAAAAAAAATCTTAAGAATTTGTGGAACTGATTTTATTCCAGTCACGTTGCAAGTTAGACGCACGCTCCTGTAAGTTCTGAACATCCAGCATTCCAGGACCTCCCTCTTGCCGTGGCTTTTTACAAGCCCAGGTAAATACAGGGCATTGGAAAGAACAGGGACTTTGGAGACACACCAGCCTTGCTCTGTCACCTGCCAGTTGCATGACCTTCCCCAAATAATACCTCTGAGCCAGAGTTCTCTCCTTTATAAAACGGGATAATAATTCTTATCTGTCAGGGTACTGGGGGGATGAAAAGTAATGGCAGGTGTAAAACATCCAGGAGTGGACGTCACACGGAGGGTGCGAATGCCCACTGCCTCCTCTGACCAGAAAACGCCTAAGTTAGCAGGGAGGTTGGCTGGTGTCACCGCTGAGCAAAGTGAAGGGGGTGCCTGAAGCCTTCACTCAGAAGCTGGTCACATACAGGATGACCTCAGGGGCCCTCCCTCTAAGCTAGTCTCCAGGACACTGGTTTCTCACTTCCTTGCCACCACTGCACATCTTCTAAGCCATGGATCTGACCTGTCCCCCCTCTCTCATCCTTCTCTAAAACCTCTGGCTTTCTGCTGCTGTCTAGATAAAGTCTCAACTTCCTCCCCTGTCAGCCAAACCTCAACAGACCCACCAGCCCCATTTTCCACTATACCCACACACACATTCAATGTTCTCTGCTTCTCTCACACCCCCAGCCTGTCCACCACCCTGGGGCTTTTACTTCTCCTTTATCCTGGAAGGAATCTGTCCCCTTTTCAGTTTGGGAAATTCCCGGTTATCTTTCAAAAGCCACCCAATATCACCACTTCCTGATACCTTCTTGACCCCCGGTTTCAAGTTCTCCCTTGGGGCTCCCATGGCACTTTGAAAGAACCTCACGATCACTGTGAGCATATTGTAATGATCTGTCTCTGTGTCTGTCTTTTCTGCTAGACAACAAACTACTGAAACCAAAAACCATACCTTGGCCTGCCCTGCCTCCAACACAGTGCTTGGCACATAGTAAGTGCTCTACACTTGTCTGTGGAAGGAATGTATGAGGGATTGCAACTTGGCCTCCATGTGTGGCTTACACACCTGCCAGCATCAGGGTCTCGGGTGGTGAGGCTGAGGGATTCTGTAGGTGTACCTTGGTATTATTTCATTTGGAGAACATTATTAGTTAGAAACTTCTGTATTCATATTGGAAGAGCCATTTTTCAAGTTGATGTGACAGGCACAACGCACTGAGTCTCTGTGCTTTTAGGATGACTCACTGCAGAATACCTGAGCCTCTGAGCCAGAGCCACTGCTCTATTCTTCCTCCTAGTCATCCTGGCTGGAGTATGAAAGGGACAAACTAGGAAGGGGAAACTTTTATGAGATTCCCTTATCTTTTTCTTGACAAGGGCTTCTTGGAGGCCTGAAGAGACAAGGGGTTCTTGGAAGCCTGACTTCTGGGCCTCCATCATGGAAAGGGAAGGAGACCAGCTGCCTCTGCCTGCTGCGGAGACCCACGGCAGTATGGAGAGCCAGGGCAGTGATCTCTCCTTCCTTTTTGGTCCAGGTAATGACTCCTTCCCTCAGTGGTGCTCTAGAGTCTTGCTTGCTCAAAGTGTGGTTCACAGATCAGTGGCTATAGCATCACCTAAGGCATATTAGAGTATAGGCTAATATGGCATGAGCTATACTGAGTAGAAAGTTGCCAAGCAGTTGAGACTCCACAAACCATCATCTACCTCCTCTTAGTCAATGACATACCATGGGTGAGATAGGATTTTCCTCATTTGAATTGTGAAGGACCAGAGGCAGCACATGACCCACCCGAAGTCACACACAGATTAAATGGCAGTGCCGGAACATGCACTTGTGATTTCTAATTCTAAACGCAGAGTGAACGTGTTGCATATGGCCCCACAATAGTCTGTGGAAATTCTTCATCACTGGGACAGCCCTGGATCTAGAGCTCAATTATCACCAGGTGTCCTGGACTGTGTCACACTGTGGGAGCACCGAGGCAGCTAGGGGTGGTGGCCTCTGGCAGCTCTGACTGTCATCCTTTACTCTGACTGTGTCCAGTGCTCAGTCCATGAGAGACACTGGGCCAATAGGGTGACTCTCTGCAGAGCTTATTCAGAGCTCCCGCTGTTAACTAGCCACCTAGTAATTTTTGCACTCTGACACTAGGCTGAGTGGCCATGGAGTAGATCAATGAGGATATGTGTAGGTCCTGGGGGGTCCCATTCCTGAGTCTGGGAGGGAGACGCTCAGTGAAGAGGCTGATGCCCCCAGGTCCTGACCAGCCTTTCCAGTTCCATCTCCAGCAGGCTCCCTACACAGACACAGCACACTGCTTGCTGTGATCTGCACATACCACACACTGAAATATCTCCTGTGCCTGAAAGTCCCTCTCTCATTTCCACCAACTATTGCATCCCCATACATTAAAGCCCAGCTCAAATGTCACCTCCTATGAAAAGCCTTCCCTCCATATTCCTCTTCTACCCTGCAAATG